AGCCCCCCGCCGGGCCCTCCCCGCGCCTCCGCGCGCGCCTGCCAGGGTGAGCCCTCCCCAAGCGCCCCCTCCTGGGTGGGTCCTTCCACCCCCCCCAAGGTCTTCCCTGTGCCTGGGGCTTCTTGGCGTCCCCGGCGCCCTTTCCCCGGATGGGTCCTCACCCCGACCCTACGCCCCCTCTCTCCAGGTGGGTCCTCCCTGTGCCGCCACACCTGGGTCCCGCCAGCATCCCTGATGCCCCTTCCTGCAGTGGTTCTCATCACACCCTCCGCGCTGGTCCGGAGTCCTTTCCAGGGCCTCCTAACCCCTTGATCCCACTCTCCCCTCCCCGGGGAGGGTGGCTCTCCCAAGTCCCCCACTGAAGGGAAGCTCAGCTGCCCAGCCTTGACCACATGGCCCTGCTCCACACCCCTTCCAGGCCTGGCTCTCTCCACTCACCCAGGGGTCTTTGTCCCGGCCCTTACTGCCCAGCCCCCGTGGCCATGCTTGGACAGTGGGGGTGCCCCCAGCCACCTCCATGTGGGCTAGTTCCCCAGCTGGTGCGGCCTCCCTGAACTGCGGCCGGATGAAAAAGCCAGAGGATCGGAGGTGCCGCTCCCAGAGGACACCCTTGTGGAGCAGGCAAGAATGGTGGCCCCAGCCAGGACAAGCATGAGGTGGAGGGGTGGAATCCCACAGGGGGGGGGGGGGGAGAAGCAGGCCCCAGCCAGAGTTTGGAGCCAGAAGGGACATCACTGCTGGGGGTCAAGAAAAAGGAAGTGTCTGGGCTCCCAGTTGCTGGTCTGAGCACTACCGTGGGCTAATGCCCTTTCCTCAGAGGGGGCAGGTGTGTGGCTGGAGGAGATGATGTTGAGGGACATACCTATGGGGCAAGGAGGGAAGCATCCAGGGGACAGGGCTCCCCAGCGGTGGGGGAGGCCCGCAGGGACAGAACCCACAGGTCCCTACGGGGGACTAGGAAGGTGGGCAGGAGCCCAGAGCAGGTGCTGGGGTAAAAGCCAGGGGTTCCAAGGAGGGCAGTGGGCTGCAACCACAGGCTGTCGAGCAGCCCAGCTCTCCAGAAAAGGAAATGCCCACCATGAAGAGCGGGCCACCAGCTGTCTGAGCAAGGGCAGCCAAGGGAGCAGCGGTTGACGGTCTTGGGAAGGGGAGAGGGGAGGAGGGGTTTAGGTACAGGGCAAGGGGTGAACGGGTTGAGGAGGTTCTCCGAACGGGGAGGTGGTGGTGGAGTGGTGTCCCTCCTTCCCCGTAGGCCCCCTTCCGAAGGCCCTGGCCTGAACCCCGAACCTCCTCATCTGGACGGTGATGCTACATCATAAAATCTTCCAGTACTCAATAATTGACCAAAAAGTTAGATCTATCAAAAAATACCCAGGCAGCCTTTGCTCGTGGAGAGAGCCCGAAACATCATGCCTTGTGAAGTGCCTGCTTCTGCCTCCATCACAGAGACAGGATGGGCTTCGTCCTGAGGAGGGAAGCCGACTGAAAGGTGCAGGCCGACTTCCTCCCTGCGATGGGGACAGAGGACAAGCGCGGCTGGGGAGTGGGCAGCAGGGCCGCTGGGGTCCAGGGTCTCAGGGAAGACATCCAGACCCCAAGCTTCCCCAGGAAGGATAGGGATACGCTCCTCACAAAGCAGAGTGACATTTACTAAGAGCTGGGACCCCACCGAGCCCGGCGGCTCCGGCTGGGACCTGCTTTCTCCCCTTTCCAGACTAACAAGAAGAAAGGGGACATTGCATGCAGCACACTGCCCTGCTCTGAGGCAGTCAATAGATCTCAGATGGGTTGCAAAAGAGACTTAGGAATCCATCCATTTATTAGCAGGGCAAATAGACGTTCAGGAGATGGCTCCTCGCGTCAGAACAGGAATGAAGGCCTGGCGGCCACCTCCACCCACCTCCAGCCACCTCCACGTATCCAACAACAGAGAAACTGGAGGAGGGAGGGGGCGAGGGGCCAGTGGAAACCCCGCAAGAGTGCCAGAGGCCATGGGAACGTGGTCCACACATGTCATCAGTCATCAGAAGCTCCAGTACTGGATGACAAAACAGCAGGATGGGAGTGAGAGTTAAGAGCTGAGGAAACACGTTTCCTCAAAATCACACCATTGCTAGAATAAGTCAGGAAAAGCAAGGAGCAGAATGTTGGATTACCAGTGCGGGTAAGGCTGGAGATGATTTGGGGGCGAGACAAAGCAAGTAAAACAATAACTTATTCATTCAATTATGACTTGTTAAGCACCTGCTTCATACCACACTGTTTAGACGGGGCAGGGGGTGGGGAGACAGGGTCTCTGCCCTGGGGGAGCGTGCCGGCTAGTGGGTCGTAAATAATATCTGGATGCTAAAAAGGAGGAGGGCAAGGGGACGGAGGTCATACTGAGGGGCATGGATGTTGAGAGAGATCAGGGCATTGGGGAAGGAGGGGCCCGCGGTGGGGGTGGCAGCCACTTGGGGGGACCATGGTTCTGTATGGGCGCAGCGCCCCGTGGGGCCACACTGAGGGCTCCGAGCGACCGTTCCTCGGGGGACCCCTCGGCAGCTGCATGGTGAGGGCTGAGAGGAGGCGAGCAAGGACACGCAGGGAAGCACACAGCGCCCAAGGCACAGCACTAGACAGAGCATTCGGAAATCTGCAAGTGAGCCTGAGGACGAGGGGCCCGCACGCCGTTCCAGAAAACCCGACTGAGCAGCATCTGTGCTGAGGCCCATCTCGCCTGAGTCACCGGGCTTTCGGAAAGAGCAGGTCACGTGCAAGACAGACCCGCCGTTGGGCCCGCATTCCTGCCCAGCGCTCAGTGTGCGAAGCCGGCTGGGTGGGGGGGGGGAAGCGAGCAGCGGCTAAGGAAGGATGGGTCGCCCGCCCCGGCTAAGTCTAAGGGCTGCAGGCAAACGTCTGTAAGCCGAGGGACGAAGTCTTTCACGGAAAGCCAATGAAGATACAAGCAAAGCAAAGACTGAGCGGCCACGTGGGGGTGGCGAGCTCCCCACGGCCTGCGCGGCGCGGGGGGGCTGGTGGGTGCAGGCCTGAGGCCGGTCCAGCCCCGAGCGGGAATGACGGTCTCGGCGGGCGGGGGCGTCAGCTCCTCAGCATTTGAAGCCGGACGTCAGCCAAGGCTGTCTGAGGGGAGATGGCTGCCAAAGCCACGTGACACTGTCCCTTGATTTTTGCAATTTCTAAAAATAATCTTAGGAGAAGCTTTTAAACTTGGGGTGAAGACGCATTCGTCTAATTCAGCAATCATGTTTTCCCTTAAAATTAAATTTTTTTAAATTTGCAGGGAGGAGCTCTGTGCTTATTCTGTATTTCCACATGCTCGCTCCTCACTGCCTAGGTCTCTAGAAATACCTGGATAACCTTCTCCGAATGTCAACAGCCTTATCTTGATGAAATTGTGGGCGAGATTTTTAAAACTTCAGTGTTGGATTGTTGAATAGTGAGTGTGTTCTTGCAAAGCCCACGAAGTCATTTTTTTCAGCTGGGGCAGTGCTGGGTCGTGGTCGTCTGCTGGCCCTCGCTCGGGAGGACGCAGATGACACCCCCCAGCACACACCTCCCTTCCTCCTCTCCTTCCTGCTCTCTGCTCCCTGCTCCAGGCTGGCCTCCCTTGTGAGCACAGGCAGGTGCTAGGACACGAGGGACATCATGCAGCCAGCCCGGGCAAGCCTGCGTGTGGGACACTGTCTGCCCTGCCACCAGAGCACCCAGGGATGTCCCCAAATGGCCCCCCACCTGGGGATGTCTCTGAGAGTCCTGGGGAGGTGTGTTGTTCCTCCTGGAGCTTGAGGAGAGACCCACCTGGCTGAAAGGGAGGGAATGGGCAGTGAAGAATGGACATGGGGGGCACCTGGGGGGGCACAGTCGGTGAAGTGTCTGGCTCTTGATTTCGGCTCAGGTGAGGGTTGTGGGGGCGGGCTCTGTGCTCAGCGGGGAGTCTGGTTGGGATTCTCTCTCCCTCTGACCCTATGCCCGCTTGCACTCGCTCAAAAGAAATAAAAAAATAAATAAAAATAAGGCAGAGTGGACACGGGGCGGCGTTGCAGTGTCTGCGGCCGGGGGTGGCCCAGGTGATGTCCTCGCCAGACTGGTGCTGACCCCAGACTCTCCCTCTCTGCTCGTCCTGCTGACGCCCACTCTGTCTGCTGGGTGGACCCTCTTCCCTTCCTGGGACTCTCAGCGGGAGTACTGTTCCCATTTGGGGCCCAATCATCCTTGGTTGTTGGGGGCAGTCCTGTGTTCTGTGGACGTGAAGCAGCGATGCCAGGAGCCCCTGTGGAAGGCACAGTGCCCCCCAGAAGATGTCCACGTCTCACCCCAAACCTGCGAATGTGCTGGCAGGAGGACTGCTCAGCCGTGATGGGGGTGGGGGGTGGGGGTGGGGGGGCTGATGCTGCCCTGAAGGCGGAGGGAGGGGTCATTGCGCCACGGCGAGCGGGCAGCTTCCAGAAGCTGGAAAAGGCCAGGAACAGATTCTCCCCAAGAGCCTCCAGAAGGGCAGGCAGCCCTGCCCACGGCCTGCTCTTAGGCTGGGAGGCCTGTTTTGGACTTCTACAGAGCCCCCAGCCAGGGAATTTGAGGACATGAAGTCTGCGGCGGTGGCTGGTTGGGGCAGCAGTAGAAACCAGCCCTCCCGGTGACAGCAAATCCGCCCCCAGCTGGTGAGTGACGCCTGTCCTGGGCACCGCGCTCTACCAGAGGAGGCCACCGGGCTGGTCCTGAGGCCACGGTAACCACGGAGGAGGCAGCAGAGGATGCTGCCCGGCTGGGGCCTCGGCCCTCCCAGGCCCCTCTGCTCTGCCGCCATGGTGCGAGGTCTGGGTGCTGGGCCCCCCCGGGCAGCCGGCTCCCTGCTGGGCGGAGGCGCCGAGAGCGCGTGAAAGGCAGAGGGCTGGCCATCCGGGCATCCTGGACTCACCACCATCTGACTGCAGCCTCATGACCAGCCCCAAGCGAGACCAGAACTGGTAGGTCAGCCCGGTGAACCTCCGGATCTCTAGTGACAACATGGGAGTCCTTTAAAGCCACTCCGTGACAAAGAACTCCAAAGCCCTTGTTACCTCTACCCTGACTGTTGGCACTTTAGCTCCCACTCTGCACTGTGAGCGCTAGTTGGGGTGAGGGACTTCCTGCCCAGCATGGAGCCTGGCCCACGACAACCACCCCCCACTTCAGCAGGGTCCCTAAGGAGGAGGGGGAGGGGGCCTAAACCTCGCCCCCCTCAGGACACATCCACTGGCCTGTGGGCCAGCAGCCTCTCAGAAGCAGGCTCTGGGACCGAGGGAGGCCGCTGTAGGCAGGTGCCCAGCTGCGTGCAGGCCTGGCTCCCGCCCTCACCCAGACCTGGGGTTGGTCACCTCCTCTTGCCCAAAGTCCCCTCCAGCCAGCTACCCCCACATAGAAGCCCCTGAGCCCCTGAGAGTCAGTGGCCAAGTCCCGGGGATGGCACCCCCCCTGCGGCTGTCCTTCCATGGCCCCTGAGGGCTGGGAGCCTGCCATCGTCCCCCTCCTTCCCTCCTCCCACTTCCAGTTCCCCTCCAGCTTCCTCTCCCCGAATGCAGCTCCGCCTCGTCACCCCCAGCTCAGAACCCTTCCGCCCACCCCTCAACCTCCAAAAGCAGACACCTCGGTGGGCCCAGGGCCAGCTCCTCACAGCTTCCCCATGCCCTCTGCCCACACTGCTTTCTTGGCCTGTTCACCAACCACTGTGCTGAGGTGGGGAGGCACCACCTCCTCCAGGAAGCCTCCCTCTGTGTTCAGCACCCCCTGGCTTCTGCTCCCCCGGGGTTATGCGTGCCCCTTTGGGCCTCCCACAGGCAGGACCCAAAATGAGACCCAGTGCCCCCAAGCTGGGTGGGCATCAGTACCCAGCAGTTCATGACCTCAAAATCCCCATCCTCCTGGAGGAACAGCAAAGGAGTTGGTCACGAGCCAGGCTCTGTAGGGGGGCCCCTGAGCCATCATGCCCCCCTCCGCGCTCCCAGGCCATCCGCAGCTGCGGATGGAAGGTGCAGGCAGGCTCTCCAGGTGGCAGAGGGCTCTCCTGGAAAGCCCCACTCTGCCCTGTCCCCCAGGCCCCTCCCTGTGGCCTCCTGGAGGCTGGGCTGGGGCAAGGCACCCCTCCCTGAGGTGGCCTCCAAGTCCTCAGGGCCACGCATTCTAAGGAAGGGGCAGCCAGAGGGTCCTCCTGGGCCTGTGTTCTCATCCCTGGGCTCACGAGCCCCCAGACGGAGGTGAAGAGGACTCAGCCGCCGCCTACCCCAGGACCCCCAGGAAAGGCGCTGCAAGACAGACACTGGGCTAAGTCGGCTCTTGGAAGGGTGGTGACCTCGAGACCTGCGCCTCCAAAGTCACGGTCTGCCAGAAAGGCGCGCTCCGAGCCAGGAAGGCGTGGAAGGCGTTGGCGGACTCAGAAGACCTCAGAGGGTGGGGGAGGAGCACGTCCTTGTCCACGTCCTCGGACACCAGCTGGGCCACGAGCTGCGCGATGTCCTGAGGGCAACCACGGGGTCAGGGGGCGGGGCGGGGCCGGGAAGGGGGAGGGGGGCGCCGAGGCGGGCAAGGGGCTGTGTGTCGCCCGAGCCCGTCCCCGCGTCCTCCCCCCGCACACCCTGCAGTTGGCGGGGGGCGGGTAGTGGTGCCCGGCCTCTCCCAGTCGCCCCGCGCCCCCGATCCCCGCGAC